TCATTCAAAGTGGACAGAAACTGAATAAAACTCACTAAAACCGTCTCTGTTAGTGTTTCCAACAATCACCAACTCTGGTTTGGTGGAAATAAATCTTTATTTCAGCAAATTTGATGTCAAAATATTCAAAAAAGGGGCCACAATGGCAGCAGCGACGTCAGCTAACGCTAATCCTTGAGGATACATGCGCCCGTCAAAGTCTGTCCACTAAAAGTTGTTTTTTCCACTGACAGACTCAGATTGATGGCGACGGCAACATAAACTAATCCTCAGGGACAAATACTTCAACTCTGGTAGAAACATAAATCCCCTCGTAACAATTCTGGAAAACAATTTGAAAGGGACTTTTTGTCTGGTATTCCCAATCTTAGCAACTGATTTGAACAAAGTGGTTAATGTTATTATAAAGAATATTATTCAACATGTATTTCGTCGTAAGGGATTAATTTGGAGACATGAAGGAATCATAAGATCTGTTCTCTTCATCTCTTGAACATCAATAATCGGCCGTAACTCAATTCTTGTCCAGTACTTCCACATGCTTTTGTTTGTCCCCGTCATATTTTATCAATTACTGTCTATTTATAGTTGGAAGAGTTGATGTTGGTGGTTGCTCTGGGCACAGCAGTGATGCTCTCAACTATTGGGTTGATGAATCCCTCTTGACTTTTTCTACTGCACCACCTTTGACTGTGCCTCGCAGTCTCGCCGACTGTCGTCCGGGTTGTCGTGACATTTGGGCCAGACGTCCGGGATGAATTTTAATCACTCTGGGCATCATCTGTTGCCATCATCAGGTCACAGTTACAGCCCTCACAGAGCCGCCAGTCTGGCTGTACAACGAGAACAATCCACATTGATGACCTTTATGATACCTGTCTGTAAACAGTGAGCCCAACCCCCGCGCTCCATGACTGTCTGCAGCTTACAGCTTACAGCAGTGTATTCATGAGACAAAAAGAAAAAACCTGTCGGATACGGGTTCACGAAGTTCTTCACAGACGACAGAAGTTACGTCTTTTGAAGAGAAATTTCATTCATGCTTTCTTGAGAGTCCGGGGATCAATCAGAGAGGACTGAATGAACTCTGACAGTGATCCTGAGGTTTGGGGGTCAGATGGCTGACAGCACTACTCTGTACTTGTGAATGCTTTCATGCTTTTGGGTTTTCTCTTCACAAAGAGAAGTTGTTTTGTATGACGGGTTTGTTTTGTACCTGGAGAAGAAAACGTTGCATGCAGTTCAACCAGACTGACAACTGAAAGAGCAGTTAAATAAGAATATAAGAAGTCAGTGTGAAAAGAAACTTGAAGCTGAGCATCAAAATCTGTGCAGATAGAAACAGAAACAGGTTCCTGTTTGAGACTGAAACAAGCTGAACTGATATATCATAAACACTCAATCAGTTAATTATTCTTCATGAAATGTAAATATTACATTTAGTGTCTGAATTATTCTTTAGTTTCCGTCCCAAATGCCACCTACTCAGATTTGGGGACAACTCTCTCAGTACTGAGTCTGTAGAAACCATCTAGAGCTTAAAACCTTTAAAGTGTATTAAAAATTGATCATTGAGCTCTGTTTAATCATGTTAATCCGTTGCTTCCATTATCCTCTCCAGGATCCAGACTTCCAGCTCCTTATGGCTGTATATGATGAGAACATCCTGAAGAATCCTTTCTACTTGGCGTTGGAGAAGCAGCGACCGGACCTCTGCAGCCGAGTGGCAGAGCTCCACGGCATTGTGAGTCCCACCTGTTCACTCCTTTATTTTCACTTTCTAGGTAGTATTTAAAACTTGTTAAACTTGTGTTTGTCAGACAGCATGGATGACAAAAGTTGTTTCAGGATTTTAGAGACATTTCTTGCATAAAAAAACCTCTTTATTAATCTTTACACTGTTCCAACAATCACCAACTCTGGTGTCTAACTGAGTTAGGTGTGAAAATATTCTGGCTTGCAGCCGCTCTGATGCCCAGCCTCCCTCTCCTGTCCCTGTCCTCATCTTCCCTGGAATCAGAGTCCTGGTTGGAGCCTCTGTACATAACCTTGTTACTGCATTCACTGTTGTCAAACTAGTCGAAATAAGCCCTTAATTTACTGCGGTTAGATGTGAAAATACTCTTTACGTTAGAGGCAGATTATTAAATTAGGTAAATAAAATGTCATATAAAAGAACTGGCGATGGCGCTCTCTACACAATATCTACACTAAGTGTAAGTGTTAAGATACCAAAAGAAACCAAAAAGAGAAAAGACGGAGGTCAGCGTTTTTGCAAGAGGTTGCTGTATGAACAATGGTTTGGTGCATCCCAAGAAATATACTGAAATAAAGGAGGAAACACTGCAGAGAGAACAACAGTATAATAGAACCGGGAACATTGCAGGGGAGAACAGACCACAGATATCTGCCAGTTTCCCTTCCAGCTCCTTTCACTCATCACTTCCTCCTCTGGATCACTGAACCTGCTGTATAACTGCGCAGAGATCAAACACTGTACGGACCTTGGTTGATTCTGTACATGAGTACTGCAGACAGTTCCCACAGTGTGCCTGGATCAGACTCATTAGTGTCATCAGTGTTAAAGTGTGTCAGATCAGGAGGCTCAGGCTCATTTTCAAAGTAAAGCTACATGTTCTGCTGTCAGGTCGATTCTTGTCTTGAGAGCAGTTCGAGCCGTCAATTCACAAGGTTTTGTTGTTGTGGTTTTAGCACCCTCTCAGCTGCTTCCTCCTCTCTCAGCCCACACTTTCCTCTCAGTGCATTTCTCTGCTTGTGATTGATCGGGGCAAGTGACAGGATTAGGTGGACACTTCTTTAAAGGTTGTGTAAGACTCTGAAGCATTTTCAATCACTTGTTATTGGCAGTGAGTGAACGAGTGCGTCCCATGTACAAAGAGCCCAGTGCTGCACTCTCCTGTCTATCTTCAGCTGCTACTGTCCTACACCCAACATAATCTTAAAAACAAAACAATAAAACAGTGGATTCAGAACCTTTAAATTAGGTTTAGGGTTGATAATGTGATTGATTGGTTTACTCAGTCAGCTCAGTCACACGAAGCTTTAAAAGTCCAGCCAGCGAGAAAATGCAACCACTGTGAAAACCGACAAATATCAAATGACCTAAACGACTGCATACTTGCTCTCAAAAGCCATGTTTTAGCTTGTCAAGACGCCTGAACCCTCAGCAGACGGGGATCAGATGTTTGAATGTCTGACTCATCAGGACTGCTCTGGAAACTCAGATGATCTGAACGCCATCAAAACATCAGCAGAGCACAGGAAAATGCATCTAACTGGATTACAGCCTCTAATGCGCATTTCACAGCAGGCTGCTGACCTGGAAAAATCAGTTCTACAACACGAGACTGTATATGTGCACTACACTTTGTACAATACTTCCTGGTTTCACAACTTTCCCTGGCTAGTGTCCAAGTTTTAAATCCTCCATGACTCCTCCAAATGAAATGTATTAATTTGTCATGAATGGTCAAGAGTATGGTGGGAAGTCTGGATTTAGTTTTCAGTCTCAACCAGAACAAGAGTCTGCAGCAATGTTTACAATCGTAGTTTAGCTTTTTAGCAAAACTAACATTTGTTAATTAGCACTACACACAAAGTGCAGCTGCGGCTGATGGGAATGTCATGCAGGTATTTGATCATAAACAATATTGGACACATGAAGATGTTGACCTGATGATAGCGATAGATGAAAAGTCAGAGGTTCACCAAGGTTATTGATTATTGTACAACACGAGGTTGTACAACGGAATGAAAGTTTCCTTCACGCTAGACACATAGAAAAAGATACTTATACTTGAATATCATATAAAATCATTAAAATAAGTGTATACACATATACACTGAGGAAATATTTCTGGTTGAATGACTTGAACAGCAGCAACAAGATAGTGGTGATAATATGGTTTCATCCTCACAAACAAACAGTGTCCATCCACTTTGACTGCATATAGAGAAATAAAGCTGAAAAGAGATTACAACAACGTTTGAAGGAACTAGCACCAGCATAGTCAGAATCTCCTTGTACAGTTATGACCTTTAATATCAAACCCAATCAGACATCATTCAATTATGTTTTCAGCAATAAAGCAGAAAAAAAAGTTTACAAAAATAGTTTGAAGGAGCTTTGTAGTTCAGAATTTGTGGTTCTGTTTTATCCTCTACTTGGCGCTTAATTAGAAGCTCATTTTCACTATTTTCTAATTTTTCTGAGCTGTCACATTGGAAGAGTAAATTTACTGTAATCTGTGATCAGACTTCCAACCACAGGAAAAATTTTCTGCTTGTCAGCAGCTCAGAGCAAACGCAAAGTCATAAATTATAATGGAATTAGGAAGATTGGATTAGGTCAGTTTGAATCTGTGTGTAGTGGTTAATAAACTGAATGAAAAAGTAACATTTTTCTGTCCCGTGTTGGTGACCACCTGCAGGTTCTGGTGCCCTGTTGTGGAAGTTTGACCGTCAGCAGCTACTCAGACTCTCAGTTCGACAGCTATGTTCTGCAGCCTGCAGAGGACGGATACCAGACTGCGGATGGAAAGGTTTGTTTAGTCCGACACACTGATTCACCTCACAGACTTCAACTCCATCAGCACTCCAATCTCTTAGAGACAACAAAACTCAATAAAATATAGAACTTTTCTTGTGATGCAATGTCAAGAAGTTGCTGTGTAAACATCACACAAACTATTGGCTGTCCCCAAGTCAGTTAGTACAAGAAGGTCGTATGATGTGCTCTAAAGTCAATGTTGTTGTAGCTTAAAAATAAGATGATCTAATAGCTAGTTTAAAAGTATGTTCCTCTTGTTGGCGTCTCCAAAATCAAGTGACTTTTCTAAAACTGAAACTAAAACAAGACGCTCCAGCTGGCTGTTCCAAATAACCTTTTCCATGGTTTAAAAAACTGAAGACAAATGAGTGTATCTGTGTATCTAGTGTATTAGTGATCTGCCTCGTTCACTGTGTATCAGTTGACCCGTCATAAGCCCCGCCCCTTTTTGCTCTGTTCTCCAATAACAGTTGAGAAAACCTCAGTCAGGATCCCGGTTCTCTTTCCTGCACTTAGATATGCTATATGCTAGGCTAATCTATTCTGACAAGACAAGTCAAACACTGTGTTCCTTGCAGGAGGTCAGGATCCAGGACAGGCAGGTCCTGCTGGGATCCGGCTTCCCGGCCCTGGCATCGGTCCCAATCCTGTTTGAGGAAACCTTCTACAACGACCAGGAGCAGAGCTACAGCATCCTGTGCATCTCCAGGCCCGTCGAGGTGGACCCGAGCCCGGCCGAGCTCAGCCCGCCGCCCCCCTACTGCCTGAAGAGCCTGGAGGACGTCAGGGAGTTCCTGGGCCGCCACGCCCAGAAACTGGACAAGTTCATCCAGGGCTTCTGTCAGGCCTTCAAAGAGCAGGAGAGGAAGGGACTCCGACACCACATAGTACGACAAATTCTTCTTCTTTTCCTGTTCAGTCTTCTTTCCTTCTGCCTCTTCCTCCATCTTCCTCCTCGTTTGTCCCTTCTGCTTCACTCCTTTTATTCTTTTTATTCTCTTCCTTTTTAAGTTCTTTCATTCCTGCAGGATTTTTTCTTTGGTAATGATTGATTGACCTGAAGTCATTTTCTGTATTTTAATACCCAGAAATAAATCTGTTCCTCTTGCTTACATTGGGTAAATATAGTTCAGGATGTACTTTTCCTTGATAAATAATTCAAGTAGACCTTTAGAATCTGAAAGGTTGTAGTGAGTCAGCAGAGAGCCTCCTGCTGTACTGAGCCCTCCTGTTTCTCTCTCCACTCAGGACTCGGTGAACGGTCTTTACACTAAATGTCTTCAGTGTCTGCTGAGAGACTCTCGCCTGGTAAGTAGAAGCTGACCTGCAGGACCAACTGATGGAGATAACTGAAGCTGTATATGAATAATTTATGATGTCCCGGAATAAGTTGTTTTATGCCTCACTTGAGACACTGAAATCCAATAGAGACTTGATTTATTGATATCATTTCAACCACTTGCCTCAGTTATGACTTCCACTTCTACGTCCAAACTAGTTCGGTTATACCCTAATTAATTAAACTGGTTACAAACTAACTAGCCGTTACTGATCCTCCAGTGTCGACTTTACACCCTCACTTAGGAGAGAACTTACACTTGCTGGTGCAACCCAGTCCAGGTCTAACATACTCATCATGATCTGTGTCCATTGATTGATCTGACCCTGAACAGAAACACAGAGAGTACGTAGATCAGTGAGGACACCACAGGACACAAGAACGTCTTGTTAGGCCCTCTGGAGTCTAATAAGATAATCTGTCTCATAGCTGCAGCACCGTTGTCTCTACTTTCTGCCTGATCACAGAAACAAGAGCAGTTGAATGAGTGATAATGCATTTCTCTGCATTTACTGATCGGATCAATGTTTGCTTCTACAGAAACTTCTGGCGAAGCAGGAGCTTCAGATGACTCTTCTCAAACAGGCAGTAGAGGTAACCTCACTCTCAACCATCACACATCAGCTTCACTCTATGGTTTCAGTAAAGAAGGATGCGTTTGTGCCTCATCATAAACAGATCTTAGAGCTCAGTAACAGACAGATAATTTATAAATATATAATAATACATAAATATTAACACTAAAAGAAAAATCTCAACATTTTGAACATCAGTGAGTAACAAGCTCTTATGGAGAAATGAGTCCACTTCTCAGTTGATTTATGAGCTCAGTAAACAGTTTCCTGATGAGTTTCTGGTCTCAGTCTCTAGTTTCAGTCTTCTTCCATACAGCATGATCATTTAGTAATCTGATGGTCCCATTTACGAGTCCCAAACAGACCATAAAGGCAGGGTATGGCTTTAGGGCGGGTACGCTTTGATTGACAGGTTCAATTCTCCAGTGAGTCCGTCCAGCCTCCAACACCCACGCAAACTCCAGATAAGACCTTGTCAACCCAGTGCTTGATCAGATATGGATCCGCCAGATTCTGTTGTTGACTATTTCTTCTCCTAAAATCTGTTCACAAAACATTTTACTGTTTAATTTGTTTAATACCGCAGATCCTGGTGTGGGCATTGTTTCCTGATACAGACGAGTTGACGCTGCAAGCCACGCCAATGAGCCTCAAACCCACTGCGTGTTGTTTTTTATCTTTTAAC